TTTTGTAGTCTGTGTCATGAAAATTGGCACCTAGAACAGAATCGAAACCTTTTGCCCTCTCAGACTGAAGGGGTTTAGTGAAGATCTCCTGAAGCAGCCACCCAGGTGGGATTTTTGCCTACAAGGACCTGCCCATGCTGGTGGCTCCAGAGGCTTGGGACAGACAGATGTCAATGTCGCTGCCACCTCTGCTCCACTGGGGTAGGTGAGCTGGTGAAAAATCACTGACTTTCATCAAACTGCCTCAAAAAATCAAAAATTTCTACTTTATTCTTCCCCTGAAGTATTTAATTTGGGGAGGAAACAATTATAATAAGGGAATATAATACTCCCTAAAAAAATTCCAAGTTGCATTCGTTAGACTAATTTTCCCATTAAATTAATTTAAAACACCTCAGCAACGAATATGAAATGCATACCAAAAAAAAAAAAAAATCTCAATTAATTTTCCTGGAGGTGCATCACGACAGTGGCTTGGCAGGATGTTGTAGGACAACTTTGGTGTGCAAAGGAGCAGGTTTAAAAAAAAAAAAACAACCAAAAAACCCACAACAGAGAAAAATTTGGCATCTCTCTGAGATAAGAAACCAGCTGTGGGTGCCCATTTCCTGCAGCGTTGGGCAGGAGGATCCCACTTTAGCAAAACACCTGCACCCGCCGGGGAAGGTGGCCCTGGCAGGCAGCAGATGCTCCACAGCTGAAGTCTTTCAAAGGAGACACCTTTAGAGCTCCTGCCCTGATGGGATAACTGAATCATCCATAAATAGTCTCTAAAGGCAGCATTGTCTGCCTAAAAAAAAAAAAAAAGAAAAAAAAAGAATGGAAAGCAAAACGAAGTAGGGGTTTTGTGTGTGGGTAAAGTAAATACGGTTGGAAATACATGACTTGTTAAAAGCTTTTTGAGGACCCCACACTCACGAAATCTTTTAGGTCATGTGTTTGCTTTCTGAAACATTTGGTAAGTAATAAGTGCCAAGGGACTATATGCACTCCATCTGGAATTAGCAGATTCCTCTTTGTTCAATTGTTCCTAAATTTGGAACCAGCCGACTTGTTTAAAAGTATTTTGATTTGCTTTTAAATAAATATGGGAGATAAACATAGACCTGGACCAGGAAAGGTAGGTTATTAGTCCTCTCCCTCTCTCCACACAACTCTTAAAGGGCCAATTCTGCTGTTTGCTGTTGGTTTGAGGTAACAATTTGTTTGGAGTGGTCCATCACTTTTCTTCCATTTTAATAAATAGTATCAAAGAAATCAGAGCTGGAAAAAGAACTATTAATCACCGAATCCACTCTGCTGCCAACACAGTCCTGTTCCTTACAGAGTATTTTTTCCATTTCTTTCTCCAGGTGAAACAGAATTAAATTTAGAGCTGGTAGGTCTAAGGAGAGGTGTGAGTGGAGATTTCACTCTTTTCTCCATTCCTAACAAGAAAAATACCTCATTTTCATCTCCACCATCCCTACACAAGGAAATGGCATGTCAAAAGATCAAGTAGATTCTTGCTCCTTGCAGGTGTTGCAGATTACTACCTCATCCCTGTAAAACTTTAATTTTTGCTTGGGGAAAGCAGAAAAGGAAGAGAAAAGCAGCACTTCTCTTATCTTCCCTTATGTCCTATAACATCTAAGAGTCTGAGACCAGAACACCTGCTTGTCCTGTAGGCGTATGAAAAGAAACTGCATTTCCTTTAGGGCCTTTAAAACTTTTTTAGACACAGGCCTTTACAAAAATCTCTGAGAAAACACTTTAAAGAATTGAAAAAGCAAACTGCAATAACCCAAAATTCCACCGAATTCACGACAGAGATTTCAGCTGGAGGAAAAATTTCACCCTGAAAATGTTTTCAATGAAAAGCTTGTAAAGCAGGGCTCAGGGAGATTGTCCAACGTTGTTATATTTGGAGTGTGAATAATTCTGGAGAGGTGCAGATCTGTAGATTTGGGATCCCAGCCTAAGATGTTCAGCCTGTATGTGTTGGTCTGCATCCATGGGTTGGAATGGAGCAGTCCCTCCTTGCTCCATTTGGGGATGGATGATCCCTCTCTCCACCGGCTCTGGAGCAGGCTTAGGGAGACTCTCCTTCCTAAGCCTTCCTGGCCTTCCTGAGCTGTGTCTTACCAAGCATTACCGAGCAGGATCAAGGTCTTTATCTGGTTCACGGCTGCTCAGAATTTCTTTTCATCCGAAGTTTATTCAGAGCATAAGCAAACATTTTATTTCTGCTTCGAGCTTTCCTAGGACTGCAAGCAGCGCGGCACAAGATACATATTTCCCTGTCTCTACACGGCCCTTTTATTTGGTCTAGATACACATCTGTAAGTATTTTACCCTCTCATATATTCATATATACTGTAAGTCAAAGGAGCTTAAGTTTTCACTGCTTGCATTGCCTTGCAATCACTGTTTCATGGGGTGCTTCCGATGTGCTGCATCTCAGCAGCCTCAGGCCTTCTCCAAGTCACTGCTCTGACCTTCCCAGCAAGCAGGAACTGAAACTGTAGTGAAAGATTAGTGTGGGATACTCAAAACCTAGCCATAATCTTTTCTACCTCTTTTCCTGTTCCAGTCAATCCTTGTTTTCAGGACCAAATCTTTATTTCCTGAGTGCTTGAGGAAAGTCTGTCAGCGTGATGAAGTATCAGCATCACTCAGCAGGACCTGTTGAGGAGCCAGTGTTTGGGCTTGGCCCATCACAGTGCTGGTTTATCCTTTTTAAATCTAATTTTGTGAGTATGAGCTTGGGGGTTGTGCCAAAACTTTGTGGAAACTTTGTTGTATGCACTCACTTTAGGCTAGGGCACTTCAGCACAGTTATGGTAATGGTTGGACTTGATGAACTCAGAAGTTACTTCTAACTTTAAGGATTTTGTGTTTCCAAAACCCTAATTCTTAGAGAGAATGAGCTCTCAGCAGTAAGGAATGTAGTGCCACAGGCACTACATAAATATATATATATATATATATATATATATATACAGGCACTACATAAATATATATATATATATATATATATATATATATATATATATATATATATATATAATGGTTCCTTGCAACCCAAATCATTCTGTGATTCCATGAAAATACAGCACTTGTTTCCTTCAGCACTTGCAAAGTGAGTAAACACACCTGCTAGGAAAAAAATTGTGGTAATTGTAATAATTTTCTGATAATGTGTCCTCTCAAGGATTTTTGTAGGGCAAGAAATGAAGAAATATTCATTCTTGCTCCACAGAACTGAATTAAAACCTTGTCATTACCACCTGTGAGAAGACAGAGCCCCAGTTGCTCTGTAAGTGAGGGATCAGTGGTTTCTTTTTGTCTCTGGTTATTATTTATAAATTCTGAGCAAGCAACTTTGTTATGAGACTCAACTCATCTGCAGCTTGTGAATTTTTTTGACAATGCATATGTTCATGCTTCACATTTTGTCATCTCCTTTTAGGAGACTACACAAATTTCCATCATTTCACTTGGAAAAATTTCTGATAGTTGGGCAAAACTTTCTTAGAAAAAAATGAAGAAACTCTGAGAACAAACAGAAATATTGGATGGTAGGTGAGATGAATCTGAATTTTACAATGAGGGAAGAGGTTACCAAAGTTTCACAAACTGGTTTCTCTTAAGGGTTGAAGGCAAGTGGTTGTGGCAGGTCAGGTTGTCATGTTGTGCTGTAGTTAGAACTCTGGGCTGGTTCCTTGCTGTTGTTTGTTGAGATGACTAAGTTGTCATTTTTAATTAGCTTTATGCTCCTCTCAAAGGCTAATTACTTTACTTTTTATCAAGAACACTTGATTGGTAATGACAAGGGTGCCATGGTTACGTATTTTTAGAGAATTCCCCAACCTGCACCATTATGTGATTTCCTGTTCCCTCCTGGATTCTTTGTGCAGTAAAGCCTTCAATAAAAATAATGGCTAAGAAAAATGGAAGTTTACTGAAGACATTGGTGGAAAAAACGATATTTTTATTTCTTTTTGGCAGGAAGGACACTGTTAATGTATTTACTCAGTGTAAAAGCCATTATGCTTAGTTTAGCTCCCTGTCAGTGACACTCATGTTGCTCTATTACCTTCACTGAAGTTACCTCAGACAAACTGAGTTTGAGAACTTCCTTTTTTCCCCCCCTCTCATTTATCTATAGCTGTACATCTGTCCTGGTCATCATGGAAATCTGGACTGAACTACACCCTTATTTCCAAGTGTGGATATTGCAGAGCCAGACACTGATTTTCAAACAGGGTTCAGCACCTTTTTTACCAATACTGGGTTGGAGACCCCTTGAGATAAACATGAGAGGAATATTCACAGGTGAAATCCCTCTTTTCTTTATCAAACCTGTAGATTGCTCTAATCTGTTCCTGTTTGAAATAGCACCAGCCCAAAAAGTGATGTTTCTGTGAAGGTTCCCTCAATGGAGGGGAGACAGTAATGGGAGACATAAATATGACATTTTTTAGAAATACAGTTTTACCCACAGAAAGGCTGCTTTTCTCCTGTTGATAAATACACATAAAATGTTTGGTAAACCAAATTAAAGTAGTGTCATTGCTCCTTACTGATGTCAGCACCAAGGAGGAAGGGGAGGTAAGGTAGGTTGGAAACCTCTCTGGGAATCAGGTATTTGGTTCCCTGCTTCTTCTGCTGCCATAAAAATAGGAGTGGATCCTAAAGGTATCAAATGCCTAAATCCTATGGAATTCAGAGTAAGTGAGTGGTTAAATGCTGTGGGGAGCTAGGTTTAATCTCTGTATGCCTCATCTGTCCTATGAGTATAGTGAGTCTTTCCTGTTCATTGTAAAGAAAAATAATACATAGTTATGGAAAACAAGGTGTCTGTTGCTATCTTTGAATATATTTATATGTATAAATAAATAAATATATATATATATATATAAAAACAAGACATAATTATTTATTTTTTTACTTTTACTATTTTACTTTTTTTTTGAGTAATAATTATGTTTTAATTTTCAATTTCAGAGAGAAGTGTTTTTTGATGCACACATTACTGTTTTCCCCAGCTGTAACCAAGGTATACATTTTCCTCTCCAGAAATTCATCAACAGCAAGGATCAACAAGAAGGTAAGGTAAAAGTTCAACTTTTTGAAGTCAGAGTAATAATATTCTTTCCTCAACGCAAAGCTGAGCTTATTTCACTTTCAGGCTAACTTTCAGCCTCTCTGATTTCTATGTGGTGCCTTGCTTCCAGTATAAATAAATGATCCCACATTCCGTCATGATAACATATGCTCATGCAGAGCTCAAAATTAGAAGGAATATGAAGTGTTCTATTAATTGCATGAATGTTGATTGTTAAAATCATGTGCTAATTGGTAATATCTGTGTGCAGTAGGTTCCTGCAATATGTGTTAGATTACATTAACTGTGCTCGTGACTCAGATATCAGCATTATGCCTTTCGTGGAAGGAGCTTTTTTAGACTTTGTGTAATTAGGTTCTATAGATTATCAGTGTAGAAAAATTAGCAAAAGGGCATGTGAAGTTAGAGGCATGAGGAATACTGAGCTTGAAAGATGCATCTGCTCCTCTTTCTCATGGTGTGCTTTTCCTCACATCCTCTCCAAAGTAATTCTCACCGTGTTTGTCTTGTGGTAATTCCCAGGGAATCCAGCACCTCCCTGCCATGGTGATCACATCTGGAAGTTGCCATCTTTTTTTGAGTGGGCTTTCTCCCTTTTCAGTCTTTTCCTTTGCTTTTCCCAGGTTTTGATCCAAGAAGCATTCAGGTACACTGCAGATAAATGAGATTATCACTGTACTCACCTATCAGAGAGCACAGTTAGAAACACGACTCTCCTGTACCAGATGTGCTTCCTCTCCCTTTCCAATCCCTGGGGGAAAATTCATATGGATCTGTTTTGTTCACTGATGTTTTCATTTTATTGAGTGCCATGAGTATTTATTGAAATAGCCAAGGTAGAAGGAACTGGATCTGGGAGCTAAATGTGGTGAGATGTGTGTGTTTTTGAGAAATGTGCTGGTTATTTCCACTCTGTGTGTGACACTCAGGAGGGCTGGGCTCCAAACTCACCCAGATCCGGGACTTTTCATCAGGAATGCAGTGACAGGACAAGGAGTGCTGGGTTCGAAATGAAAGAGGAGAAATTGAGGTTGGATATATGGAAAAAACACTTCCATATGAGGGTGGGGAGTGTCCAAGGTGAGGTTGGATGGAACTTGGAGCAAACTGGTCCACTGGAAATGTCCCTGCCCGTGGCAGAGTGTGGACCTGGATGATTTTAAAGGTCCATTCCAACCCAGACCATGCAAGTTTCCATAATTTCAGAAAGGAAGACTGAAATTTAAAAAAAAAATAATTTTTTAAATTATTTAGAGAAACACCAGGCAGATTTTTCTGTTGTTACGAAGAAAAAAAAAAATTAAACACTTTAAACATTTCATGGGTTGCATTGGGAAACACATTCAGAATTGAATTCCTAACTAGCATAATTTTAATTCATTTTACAGTGGACCAGCTTGGTTATGATGCAATGAATTAAAACAGGTTGTCTGAGAGGAAAAATGGATGCAGTTTTGGTAAAGAGAGCATTTACAGGAGTGTTGGAAGTCTTGAGCCTTATCAGGGCTGTTGCTCTAATATCTCTTGATTTACTGATCTTGAAACAGGCAAAACCTCACGGGTTCACGAGCTTAATGTTGAGGCACACTTCATCAGTTGTCCTGAGAAATGCAAAGATTTAAGAGGAAATCAGTTTTAGCCCCCACCAAAATGTTGACACTGAATCAAACAGAGCATGAACTATATACACAGTTTTAATTAAAAGAAAAACTGACAAATTACTAGCATTCTAGTGTTCAGAAGATGGTTATCTGTTACAGAAATATGTTTTCTAATGCACACGCTCTCATACATGAAATAGTTTCTAGATTTATTTTATTATAATTGTAAACTATGGCACAAACACTTAATCTTACCTACTTAAAAAATGTAAAATGTTTTCCAGTTTCTTAGCAAGTCTCCCTCCTCCCTCTCACCCCTGATTCCCAAAGTGATGCATAGAAAAATTTAGTAGACAAGATGACCACTGGAAATATGTAGAAAAACTAAAAACTAAAAATAAAAATTCACCAGAAGGAAGTTGCTTACAGATTTTTTAAGATAAAAAAGTTAATCTGAAATGACTACCAGCCTTCCAAAGATTAATTGTCAAATTAAGTAGGGAGACATTCAGTGGTCACTGGCTACCTGGGGGAATGAACTGTTAAATTGCTTAGCTCAGGGCACATAATTTACAAACAAATCAGCTCCTCTGCCTCTGTGGAAAGTCTGCATATTCCAGGCAAGGTGAAGGAGGTCCCATGAGGACCCAGCCACTGGTGGGAGCATCTGGAGTAAATAGTGTGTGTTTCCAAGGAGGTGAAAGCAAGCTGGGGAACAGAGCAAGTTGTTGCTCCATGGGGAATAACAATCAGTTTTCTCTCATTTCCTTTGGACTGTTAAAAAATTGGCTAAATATTTGGAGAGCCACTTTTCACATGGGCATGGAGTGGTGGGACAAATGGGAATGGTTTTAAACTGACAGAGAGCATGGTTGGATTAGATGTTAGAAAGGAATTGTTTGGTGGAGAGGCCCAGAGCAGCTGTGGCTGCCCCTGGATCCCTGGAAGTGCCCAAGGCCAGGTTGGACGGGGATGGGAGAAACCTGAGATGGTGGGAGGTGTCTCTGCCCATGGCAAAGGTGGGAACAGATGAGCTTTAAGGTCTCTTCCAACTCAAATCATTCTAAGATTTTCAGATCTTTTTTTTTCTGAAAATCCAATGCAGATGGGGCAGTGCCACTCATAAAAATAGTCACAAACTCTGTGCATCCAGCCAGTTAAACAGAAGTGACTCTTTCATTACATCCCAAACCTCTTCGACAAAATCAGCCCACTGGCAAGGGGGGAGAAGTGTCGGGAACCCTCTGCCAGGGCAGATCTGAACTCTGCTTTGTGCACAGCCAGGAGAGCTCTGGAGCACCCACAACTGAGGGACAACACTGATTTTAACGAAGACAAAGGGAATCCAGCACAGTGCTGCTCCTTCCCCATCATTCTTCATTCCATTGTTCAGGCTAGCAGGTCTGGCAAGGGGATGTCACTGCATAGCTCCCTGTCCTCCAGAGCCACTCTGGAGCATGGCTGAGATCCATGAGAGGCTGTGGTGGCCCAGACAGTGTGATATCTGTCTGTGGTGAGGAGAACAGGCTGATCTGACAGCAGGAGCTGCTGCCAGTGGATGCTCATGGATGCTCCAAGGGTGATGGTGCTGGGACAGGGGTGATGTCTAAAACCTGAACCTCTTCCCAGTGCTGCTCTCACCACTTTGCAGAGCTCCATCCTCCACAGGTGTGCCAGCAACACTGGGAACCCAGAGCAGCCTCCCCAGAGCCTGCAGGGCCAGAATTGATCCCAGGGGTCACTCCTGGATTTTGCTGTTCATGGGCTCAGTGTGCAGCCCACAACATGAACATCAGGATGGGCTGGAGGCTGCTCCTGCTTGGCCACGCAGTGCATTTTTCTGGCCATTTTTAAAAGATTTTTTTGTGACCCTGGAGGGGCAGAAATTATTTCTGCCCTCCCTTTAAGAGCTATGCATCCCTGCTGTTAATCTACCCCATAAAAAAGCCTTAAATATATACTGTGAAAAATGTTATGCCTACTTAAGCAAGATAGTTGCCTGTAATAGTGCACCATAAAGCAATCTGAAATGTTTATTGTCTGTTCCTCAACTGCAGTTTTATTTCTTTTTAGCAGTTTTTGTATCTACAGGATTTTCTCCACTATGAAAGATTTAGAAGTTTTTCCTTTTCCCTGCAAGCAGAGTCATTATTTGGCCAACAGATCCTCCTGTCAGTGCAGATACAGAATTCTTTACAAAACTTCCAGTTTCCTAAACTTTTTCCAGTAAAATAAAGCATTGTTTAAATCAATAGCAAGCCTTGATATGATAGGCTTTAGAGGGCAGCCTGACTTCCAAAGGAGCAGATAATGTTAAACAAGATGTCTTTTGTAAAGGCTTAAATAGGAAATCAGGAAAAGAAAAGAGAAAAAAAAAATAAAAGGAAGAAAAAAAAAAAAAGCCAAGGTTAGGGGGGTGGTAAAGATGTTGCTGCTGGATCTAACTCCAGAGACACAATGTGTATTTCATTGCCACGAATAAACTGTATCCAGGGAACGAGCAAATGAAAAAGTGAGGACAGGAGATATCTTATTTTTGTTGTTTGTTTCCAAAGAGTTTCCACCCCCACATAGGTCACTTGGAATTCATTTGTCTACATCCTGGACTGCACGTAGGGGAAAAAAGAAATGCCTGGGATCTGAGAAAGAGGAATGCGATAGGGCATGGGAATCTCAGCGTCACGGTGGCCACCAGAGCATAGCTTGGCTCCTCTTAAAACAAGCAAGCACCGTCGGACCTCTGCGAGAGCGGCAGAGCAGCCCTGCTATCAGGCTACCTATCAGAGCCTGGACGCCTGAGAAAAAGTGTGTGGGATTTCACCCGGAGCCTGGGGCGTTGCAGGGCTCTTGGAGCTGCTGCTTTCCTCTTGACATCCAGCGCTCCTCGGTGACCTCGGCAGCAATCCAGTGTGCTGTTACAGTTCATTTCAATAATTAAACAGTTCGGGGATGGCAGGGCTTTCTTGTTGTCAATAGAAAATCAGGGCTGCAGTTTGCTGCTTTTTTTTTTCCCCTCTCTCTCTTTCTCCCTTTCCCTCTGCTGAAATCCGAAGTGTTTGTTTTTAATTATATTAGCTAGAGACAATTAATTTCACAATCCGAACAAAAAAAACCCCCACGTTTTGCGAGAAGGACTGGCAACTGGTAAATGCAATTATTATTGTAGCACATTTTCAAAGGAAGAGATCCCAGCTCCAACAAAGTCATATGTATAAAATTTCAGTCATAGAGTATAGTCTCAAACAGCAGATTTACTCTGCAAGAGATGGGAGCTGCTCTCCCATCTGGAGCTGTGTTCTGTTCATGCCACGTGGACCCATTTGATACCAGCTCTGAAAAAAAACACCAGCCAGCAAAGCAGACCCCTGTCCATCATCTCCTCCAAGGAGCTGCCTGATGTGCTCCTTTAAGCTTTCCTGACGTAGGGATGATTAATACCAGCCCCTTTTTAAGCACAGCCTCTCAACAACAACCTAAAAATCCCCACTCTCTGTGCAAACGGCAGCATTTACATTTCTGCTGCCGGAGCAAAAAAAAAATGAAAATAATTCAACTTTATGCCTCGCAAAAAATTTCCTACAATTAAAAAGCAATTTTTTTGAGGCGCTGGCTGTGCCCCTTTCATTGCCCATCTGGCTGCCTCCCAGCTGCTCCCTGGCTGGCTCCGTGCTCTGCCACCAGCGTGGCCCCTGTTCCCAGCGTTGGTCCTGCAGGATTGTGGGGCCGCAGTCTGGCCTCACTTACACTGATTTACTTTTATGGGATTCAGTCAAAACGCTACGGATTTATGCCGCCGAGGCAAGCAGCAAAATTTAACTCCTGGGGTCGGGAGTGCTGGTGGGGATTCAGGTCCTTAGGGAATGTTTTGTGCTGGCCCTGGTGACAGCCGTGCCAGCCTCTGCTGTCACACTCCCATTCCTGATTTACATGCCTCGCAGAGCTTTTACCTTTCCCCATTTCCTACCGGTGTCATTGACATAAGAATATTAAACCAAAATACACTGAGGCATCGCTCCCTTGGAAGCGGTGTCCGACATCCTCCTTCCCACTGAGCAGGGTTTCATTCCCCAGACAGCTGAATCCTTCCAGTGGGGTGGCTGCAGAGGGAAGACCAGATCCACAGAAAGGTTTTGACATAATCTGTGCCTAAATTGCAGACCTGGTAGATTATTTTAACTTGAGTCAGGTGTTGGTCTTTGCAGCCTGCATGGAGAAAGTTGGACATTGTGGATGGGGGAAGCACAGCTCTGGGAATCTAACCAGGAAAATATTTTTGTTCAATAGCTGAAGCATCCTGACAGATGAAGGACAATCCATTCCTTGGCATTGCAATGGATCCTCTCCTCAGGAACTGCCCTGGCTCCAAGAAGCACCTTCATTGTGTAAGTACCATCCCAGCCACAAACAAACCAGCTTCAATGTCTTGATTTTCTAGAGGGACCCTATGGAGCCCTTGTTTTAAACCAGTAAAAAGGAAACCTACATGGCTGGCTTAAATCCTTATTGAGGAAACCCAAGGAAGCAGAAGCTTGACTTCATAGACTCACATAATGGTTTGGGTTGGAAAGAACCCTAAATCTCATCTTGTCCCATCCTCCTGCCATGGCTGGGACAACTTCCACTAAAACAGGTTTCTCCAGGACCCGTCCAACCCAGCCTTAACTTGCTGAGGTGTTGGTGGACAGCAGCTCCTGTGGGGTGTGGGTGGTGGTAACCTTTATTTCCACCCCCTTTTTGAGGCTGTCAAAACATTTTACATTAAAACAATCAGCAAAAAGCAGTCTATGGATTCCAAGGACCAAGTAACAGCTGTCGGAGGATTATTTTCTGTATTAAAGGTCTAAAGCAGGAGTTAAACACAAATCTGGCTTTAGGGCTGCAGGTGAGGCTCTCACCTTGGCCTTTGCAGTTCACACCTCCAAGCGTGACAAACCTCTCACCTCTTAATTTCTGGACTTGATGATCTTAGAGGTCTTTTCCAGCCTTAATGATTCTGTGACCCACCAATCCTCCGGGAACAAAGAGGTAAAAATATTCCCCGTGCATGTGAATTTGCAAAGCAGAGAAGCAGCAGCTAAAGGTGCAGCCACTTGTGGTGGAGCTGCTCTTGGTTTCCAGGAGAGCTCCCCAGATCCTTGCAGAGCCTTGCTGATCCTTGCCAGCATCATAGGGACCAGCCTTGCCCTTTTCCCTGTGTTTCTGGTTCCTCTGCTTGCTCTTTTTTTGGCGGGAGGAGAAAACCTTGCAAGGCTGAAATGAAATATTAAGCCTCATTCTTTCCAGGTAAGTGCATGCCAAATCTCGCAACGAGGTTGGCAGGCTCCCAAAGTTGCAAAATAATGAAGAAAACATTGAGTTTAGGACTCTGTGCCCATTTTAGCAGCATTCCTTGTAAGTGCAATTAAAGCTGCCACTGATTTGACCTCAGGAAACACAGCAAATATACACTGGAGTGCTGAAAAATCACCTTGAAAGGGGATTGAAGTATACCCACAATCTGGCTCTCAAAAAAAGAACAAATAAATTCATTATTTAAAGGCCATTGGAGTTCTCATGTGCACATCCATGTTAGGTCAGGCCCAGCAGGAGCTGAGGCGCCTGGATTAAAAGCAGTTTTCAGCAAGTCTTGGGGTAATGGTGAGCTGATTTGGATGTGTTGTTTAGCACTTGTTGATGAAGATTTTGCCCACATCTGGACCACCGGGGAGGGCACCTTCCCACAAGGCAGATCCAAACCTTGACTGCAAGATGGGACAAGAAAACAGCATAGAGGTGCATAAAGGCAATTTAAGGACATTTGTGTCTTGCTGCCACCTGCCATTACCATTATTGATGAATGCTGCTGTTGCAGGGAGAGGCCTCTCAGTGTGAAATCATTTTCTGTCATCCTTTGGTCTCCACTATCCTATTTTTTGCAGAAGTTAATGACAGATGCAACTTTCCTGCCTCCAGAGGTAGTGAAAATAAAGCATAACATTACATTGTGTTATGAAATATGGAATTCTCACAATGTAAGCCTGTTCTAGCTATAATAGGCTGAAAACAAAGGTTTTGAGCTCTTATCCTCGAGGATATTGCACAGTAAGGTAAAAAGTCTCAGAGGAAAAGCTGAGATCCTTGGAGTCACTGTGGTGGCCTCACACAGACCTGTAGAAAACTGATTTCAATGATTTATTGTTCAAATTCGTTTCCACCTATAAGGCAAAGGAAGAAGCTTTGCTTTTCCCCATTAAATTTTTAAAATTTTTTTTAGTTAACAGCAGAAACACAGAAGCCCCTGGTGGTACCAGCAGCAACGTTGCTGCATCTGTGGGTGACACAGACTGCCCACAGTTTTTTTCCTGACACAGCTCTCTAATTCAGTTCAGAAGAATGACATGAGCTGCCTGAACATCTGTTAGAAACTGCAGCTGAGGAAAAAAAAACTAAAATTCTCCCTGGGACACACCATGGAGCAGGAGAACTTGAACCTCCTGCCATTGGTTTCAGTGGCAGGGGCTCAGACCCACTGACCTCTGGTTGTCCCCTCAAAATAGACTGGGAAACCAGAATTTTATAGTTAGGTGGTTATTTCTTCTGGAGCCAGGAACTGCAATCCTAATGACATGATTACAGCGCTGAAAAGTGATCTAAAGCAATAAAACAGAGGATATTTACCTTGAGGACAGTTGTGTTTTGTTATATATTTAAGAGAAATAACATGCTTGGCTAAGACACTTTTAACATGTGGGGTTTTTTTTGATTGGGGATTTTTTTTTTCTTAATATATAAAGGTTTCCAAGCAGAGTGACTCATGAGAGCAACACTCCAATTCCTGTTTCATGAGCTGACTCTGTAGATGTGAGCAGAGCTGCTGGGAACACAGGACCTGCTGCAAAAATATTCCTACCTATTAACCAGCAACTTGAACTTTGTAGTGCTTCAGATTTATTCATATTTTTAGGTTTTTTTGTATGCTTCTGGTTGTGATAAATTTTTTTTGACAGTGAGCAGGAATTTATTATTGTTTGCTGATGGCCGGGCAAAGTATTCAGCAGGGGTAAGGATGAGACATGGAAATAAAATAAGATTGGGCAAGGATTTCTGATCAACAGGTGCCTCTGTCTGCTGCTGCACTCCATGTAATCACTTCTGAAAGCCTGGAAAGTTCTATCATGGGATAAGTGAGGTTTCCTGACTCCATTCCTGCAGTGAGGAGGCACCACAACCTCAGTTCTCCTTTGATTGAAGACTTTCTCCTATTTTGCATTGCAAATATATGTGTGACTAATTCAAACCCACTGGCTTTTTCCTACTTTTTTCCTCTCCAGTTTTCCCTTTCACTGAAATAATGTTTGCTTCTCCCAGGCATTGACACTAATAAGTTCACTCACAGTGAACAGGTTTTCTTGGAGCTTCAGCTAAACTGAAGGTGTTGTCTTGGGTGGAATGAAATTTAAAACATTGGTGGAATGAAATTTAAAACATAAATCACAATTCATAAAGTTTTTCCTAATTTCCATATATCTCTGGTTTTTTTACTCCTGTCTAGACTTAGCAGATATATTTGAATTCTGGATTTAGCACCTGGCTAAATCCTACTAAAATCCTTCAAAAAGTTTCACCCCAGTTCATTTAACAAAATAAAAGCCAAGCACAACTAGGAACCATTAGAAAAACATAAAAAGCTCTGATTTATGCTGGATATCAGAGGAAATCATCTTATCCCCTCTGATATGCAATCTATGAATGCAGAATATTTCGGCTGACTCATGAGAGTCCCAGAATGGCACTAGATGTTGACAGATATATTAAGAAGAGCTAAGCAATTTTTTTTTTGTACCAACGCAGAGGCAGGGGAGATGTGTTCATTAGCTGTTGGTGAAATTACTGAAAGTGCTGCAATAAAGTTTGGTAAACTTTTTACCTTCCCTAATCACGGGCTTACCTGGGTCACAGGCATTAGTCATGGATATTCATTGCAAACTGCAAGCTCATAAAAGACAGCATATGGCAGCCCCGAATTTCTTGCTATATAAAGTTAAATTCACAGTAATAACATCTGTGCAGAATTTAGAGCCCCACCAATTAAAGTGAGGTCAACGTGCCGAGGCAGAGATTGATGGCATTCTGCAAATCTTAAGCGACAAGTTAAATAGGTATAAAATAAACAAACAACTTTATTTCTTATTAAAGAGCAGACGAGCGGGGTGAGAATGCTGAGTGCTCAGTAATGAGGGCCAAGAGGAGCAGGGCAATGCTGTGGGTTGGAACCCAACAGTGAGAGGTGCACATGGAACAGGCTCTTGATGCCTTTTTCTTCCTGGTAAAACACAAATAACAAATAAATAACAAATAAAAACAGGGCAGGACCCTGAAACCCCAACCTGTGAAACTCAGGCTAAAAAGCATTGAAGGAAGAAGAGGAAGGACATGAGGAGTGGCTGAGGTCACTTGGTCTGTTCAGCTGGAGAAGAGGAAAATCATCCTGGTCTACAACTTCTTCAGGAAGGGCAGGTAACACCTCAGTTCTGGGTATAGGAGGAGCACCTCCATCATATCTTAGGTTCTGGATTGTTTGTTTTTCTTAAATGGGTGATGTAAATTTTCTAAAGTGGTTTATGCACTAATTTTTCAGCGAGTTTCAATTTTTCAATTTTTCCAGAAAGAAAGAGTTAAATTGCAAGTGATGACTAAAATCACCATAATTGCGCTGACCCAACCATGGAGATCTTCGACTCAGTTTGTCTGTTGTGTTGCACTTGAAATTTAGGAAGTCCTTGTCAATAAAAACAAAATACTGGAGAAAACTTCCTGTTTCAAAGTTGGAAATCATCCAAATTTGCAAGTAAAACTAAAAGGTTTTAAACCGAGATGAATTGAAAAAGATTAAATTATACCTTTACCTGAAGTTTGGGTGGATTCTGTCCTTTTAGTGCAGCATGACCTTCAGGTCATTTTCCAAAGGGATTCAGCTCAGACTTTCCCAATTCATGGCCAGGATTTTTGCTCATGGTTTTCCACAATGCTGCACATGAACGTCTGAAGCAACATTTCCAAGTCTACAGCAGGGTGAGGGGAATGGGAAGGAAGGGGAATGCATGCTTTGCTCAGCTGTGAAGCTGGAGACAAGGAAACTTGTGCTTGTTTGGGTTTTTTTCCCATGCAGTGAGAAAAACATGCAAATGAAGTGTGAAAGAGAAATTATTCTGCAAGCAGACAGGAGCAGCATCACTGGAAGAACAGGGCCACCAAGAGAATCCCAGATCCAGGGCACAACTGAGAGAAATCACAGAAAGCTGGGACTGACACCCCCTCATTGATGGGCAAAGGTGATATTTCAAAGGGAATAATCAATGAAAAATAAGCCTTTTTTTTTTTTTAATTCTATGGAGATAATTTGGAATAGGATGGGTGAAGAAAGCTATTATAAAATTCAAAAAACCTGCTACATCACTATTTCTGAGCAGCCAAATCTTGCTCTTGTGTGTGTTCAACCTAAATCATCTACTCTTGATTTAGTCATAGAGTTTTCTGTTTCCAAAGCAGGAAAAAGGCTGAAATACCTTGTTGGAAGGAGAAGCTGGGCAAGGGAAACATGTTCTGCTGACCAAAAAATGAAACCATGTGTGAACAAAGGAAATGCTGTACTGGTTATCTTTAAATCGATGTATTTATCAGCACTATTTTTTTACCAAGGGTTTTCCTGGCAAGCTCTTTGTTATCATAAAGGAAACTCATGGCTGGCAACTCTTTGTGGTGGTCATTCACTAAAAATGAGAATTTAGTCTCTTCTGGCACTGTATCAATCTCCACTAGAGCCTTATGTATAAACCAACTCTGAATATTGACTCAAAATTTGGAACAGTGAGCGCATTTCTTAGCTTAGAGATGAGCCTGATCTCTTTCTCCTTCTGTAAAGAATAATAATGTCTTACTTAGAAGAACCTGTAATGTTTCTGGCCTGCACTCAGTGTCTTGAACAGCTGAACCACTGGGTTTTGTTAAGCAAGGAGAGAGACTTTTCTTAGCTCGGGAGTCATCCAGGGAAAAATAGGTATGGGATGGAAGTATGCAGGAAAGGCAATAGGTGATGATGTTCTTTAGGCTGCACTTCCCAGCCAAGGTTGTATCGTGTTTCTTGGATACCAAGGAACTTGGAACTGGGCAGTTATCTGATGGATTTACAGCTTGGAAACGTTTCACCTCAGAAAACCCCGGTGTGCCAAAATCCAGGAGTTTAAAGGAAATGTCTTTATTTCCAGAAGGATTCTGCTGGACGTGGGTGAGCTCAGCCCGTGGAACTCAGGTGATGCTCAGATCCCCAGGGCATGGCCCCAAATCCTGCCAGGACTGGAGCAGCCTCCTCTCTGAGAACATTCTGCCTACAGGGCTCCTCCTTTTACCCATCCCTGCAGCAATTTTGGCAGCAGAATTGCCCCAGGTCCAAGCAATAAGGTAGATCTGGAAGCTCTTGAGTAATTTGGGACACAACCAATGTCCCCTGTTGGTTGGGAACAATGGGGACAGTCCCCATTGTTCTTGAACAGTTCAGCCCCAAAAAGGGGCTTGCAGTGCTCAGCTCTTGCTCTATTTTGTTTCTAAACAGGGATTTTCAGCCTTTGATGTTTTGGGAGAGGTCTTCAAAAAATCATCAGTTTTGATTCGCAATAAAAAAAACCCCTCAAACCAAACCCACCCTAGCAACTTTCAAATTGGAACAACCACAAAAAAAAGGAATTTCAGCCAGCTACAGATGTAATTTATGGGAATTTGCATATTTATGTTGAGTAAAGAGACCACAAGCTTTGGAAAGGTAGAGGTGTTGCCTGTTTGTGTGCAGAAAACAGCAGTTTCATTGATTTCTTTCCCTTGTGATGCAGTTTCCATGTGAGTTACTGGTGGCACCTAAAATAAAAAGGTGTTTCAGCGGATGGTGAAGCCTGTGCTATGTTTGTTTGCTGGGTATTAATTAGTTAATTCTCATAAGCATGTTGTTTTAGGGGAGACAGTGTTTGCCAAGGTGGTGCTGAACCAGCAAATCCTAATGATAAAGTTCTAAATCTGAAAATTTCATATGAAAATGTTCATTATGACTCAATTTTGATTTTTATTTTTTCAAAGGTATCTGTATTGAGCCACATACCAGGAGCTGAGAGGAGCCTGGCCAGCACCACACATGATCAGAAATAGAAATCCTGAGCTCAGCCAGGAGTGATGGAAGAGTTTTGGCTGGATGGTGCACAAAAAGCTTTGTGCAGTCACAGGTTGGTGGTGGGAAAGTTTGCCAAAGCAAAAATAATAACCCCCTTCAAAAGTGCTCTCATGGTTATGCTGGGGATTTGGTTGGTTTTTGCTCTTTCTTTTTTATTTCTGAAAAAGAAAAAAGCATTGAAGGCTTTCCAGGCTATTATTAATAACGATTATAACATAATAATTCTATATGCAATTTTATGCATAATTTGATATACAGTGTAGTTTATACATGCACAATATTATTTTATACATGCACAATATTATTTTATACATGCACAATACTATTTCATACATTCATAGATGTAATCATGTCACAGTGCCCTGTTCAGGAGAGGCATTCCTGGCTTCCAAATTCCTCAAAATGAGCTCAACCTGTGTGGCCTTGAGCAGAATGGCAGACAGGCATATTTTTTTATTGCTGATTCCAACTCTCATAAATTCTTAACTTGCTTAGAATTCGCCAGATTAAATGAAAAGTTACTGTAATTAGGGATTTATTAAAACATGAATCCTTGACCCAATAGAATATAATAAGTCATTTGTTTCAAATAAGGCCTCTTTAATTGTTCCATCATTGGCCTGAGCAGCCCGTGCAGTGCAGAGTCACGTGTGTTCTCCAAATCCACTTGCAAAAAGCTCTGTGAAATTTTTGATCCCCACACCACTCCATAGGCAGAAGCCCCTAAAACAAAAATATGTCATTTTAATTAAAAATTCAAGTGCTGAAAGCCCTCGCTATTCTGCACTACAAAGCAAAGTGAAAATGCTCTTTCTGTGCAAAAGGTTCTATTTTAACTTTTTTGTGAAGAACCGCCCTTCTCTGTGTCTTCAAAACCAATAGTTATTGATTTACAATCTTATAAAACAAGACTGTAAAATCCTCTACCCTGGAACTATAAATAGATATTTTTAAAATATATGAAAATTGCTCCCAAATCAGGTCTATATAAGGCACTAATCAGCAGAGAGCCATTTTGCAGGGGAATACAAACTGCAGGAAATAATTCCCATTGAAAATGCAAAGAAATCTGAGACTACACACAAACAATGCAGCCAGAATTAAGGAATTACCCATTCCTCCTCCCCATCTTTGAAATAAGCCTCCTCTTTTTCTTTAATTGGTTGGCTGTAGAAGGCATATTGCTATATTTGGGTCCTGTTTCCCTGTATAAGAATAGTCCTACAAGGAATTCCCAGTAAAACAGCGTTGCAGTTCTACAGTATATTAAAAAAAAATACCATTGGAAAGTGTTATCCAATGGGCAGATGTTAACTTAAAGTGCACATTGTTTGGAAAAGGAGTTAATTAACAAGTTATTAATTGGATAGAAAGTCTGAAACTGTTGTACTTCTAGCAAATACATAATTTTCTTCAAGTATTATTAAAGCGTTTTTGTTGTACCTATTAAAGATTCTTGTCTCTAAGTTAATTTCATTATGCTAATAAGCTATCATCGTTACAGAACCTAAGCTTTGATCCATGTTAATTGTCGTGATCTTCAAAGACAAAGTCACCACTTACTTTAAATGAATTTTACATCTTTTTAAAGAATCACACGGAAATTAGGGGAAGTAATTAATTTTTTATTATGTGTCTCAATATTTTTAAGGGAGGAAGTCAATGGTATTGGCTAGAATTCATTTTAACATTTAACTAGGGAAAACAGCATGAGGCAAAAAAACGTTCAGATGCAAAAGATTAAAGAAAATTTGAAACTGGGACCTAATTTGTCTTGATAAACTTTGGTGTTTAATATGCTTCTTTTGTTCTCAGTGTGAAACTGCAGGGTTTTGATTTGTAAAAACTTTTTGAAGAATTAATTCTTTCTAATTTTTATTCCTTTCTTTTCTTTCCTTGTACTCAGAGACAGTGGAGTTGACCTTCAAACCATAACACTTTTAAATATCTGTGAATATACAAGGTTAAATCTATTAGTGGTCTGAGATTAGCTGTTCTGCACTTCCAAAGTGTGTACCTTCTGCAGCAAATTTTATCTCCCGGTGAATGATAACGAGCTTACATCCACCCTACAAGTTTTCAACAAATAATGGGATATGTGTTGTAAGTGATCTATTCCTCTTTCCTTTAAGTGTTGGTTATTTTAACCCTTTGATGTTGCACAAAGCTCAGTTCTGAGCCTGTGGGGCATTTTTCTTGTTGAGATCAGGACCTAAATGTTTGCTTTGTCATCACTGCTGGGATTGAAAATTGGCAGTTCTGCTTTAGCTTTTTCAGACCTATTTTGCAAAAAAAGTGGAAATAAGAATATAAAGGAAATATGTGTAAGAAGAGAAAAGTAACAAAAGTGGAAAGGTTGTGCTGTGTTTTCCTGACAGGATTCACTATTTAAAGCCCTGCTCTCTGTCGTATTTGCACAGTACAAGCATCCTGTTGCACTAGAAGTGAGAAGTTAAAAGGCAGCAGACAAAAGTAATTTAAGGATGGCAGCAGCAATTGAAAGAACAGCCAGATTTACCCTCTTCCTCCTCCCTGGTTAGCAGCACATAAGTGCTGGAAATGCAAGAAACCCTCAAGTTTGAGCTGAACCTCAGATTTCTGCAGCAGACAGGTGGTGAGATCAGCACCAGGATTTTCCAACATTAATGCTGAACTCATTTAGGCTAACACCAGGCTTGAGTGACCCTCATCTGGATTTAACCTCTGCCCTGTCAATCCAGACATACTTTCAGATCTCAACATCAGTTTTGCATTTTTTTATTTTATTTTTTTTTAGCATAGCTGACTTTAATCATTAAGCAGCTTTCATAACTGGAGCATATACATGTGCTCTTTGGTTTGTAATCTCAGGTTCTGCCCAAATAATCCCCAGCATCTGAGTGAACTGAGCTGAAGTTCAAAATTCTTTGATTGAGAGTGCAGTGATGATTTGGCTCTGCTGCTTTTCTCGTTTTGTAGCAGGAGCTTTAGTGTGCTAAAAGGACAGATGTGTTGTTCATTATCATTAGTACTAGTAGTAGTATTAAGGTTGGGCTCATTGGTCTTGGAGGTCTTTTCCAAGCTAAATGATTTTGTGATTCTCTTACTTTAATATTTGGGCATTTGTTCCAGTGAAGAATTTTTTCTGAAACAAGTTTTCTTTGTTTATTTTATTTTTTATTTTGATTTCTAGATGTCAGTTTTAATTAAGTTCAGTTATAAAATATTTATAATTCTTCTGTTTTGGTGTCCTTTTGAAACACCTCAGGTTATAGTGAGTATAAGGCATGGCATGAAGGCATAACCCACCCTGCTGTACAGAGAACCCAGATTTTCCTCACCAGTTTAATAAGTAAATTAATAAGTAAAGGAAGGTAGTGGCTCCCAAGCTATCCTCCCCTTGCCTGAGCAACTGAAAGGTGCAATTCTGCCTATCACATCTTTTCTTAATAAACATAACAGCCCATAAATGTTTATGTAAATACACAGTTTAAAAGGACTCATCCCAGCAGCACTGTGCTTGTCAAGTGAGTCATTTTTTCACCTGGCAGGATGATGTTGTAAGGCTCAGTTGTCTTAACTAATCCTGGCTAAAAAGCAAAATTCTGTTTTGTAAGAAAATTCCTGGCCAGCTCTAATCTTAACCTCTTGCATGTCTGTAGCTTCTAAATCGATGTCACAGTTGTTATAGCTTTGAAAACCCATATGTTTGTAAACTAAATAAACCTTGATATTCAAAGGAGATGAAGACAAGAATTACATCTCTTGGCAGTGGTGCTCTGAGCTCCGTTTCAGCTCGTGTTGGCTCCTCATTTTTATGCCCGTGCACCACGCCAAATCTGCCTTATCTATGCAAACATATTAACACTGGCTGTTTGCTAAGGCTGTGATGCATCAGCCTCTTATCTGCAGTTCTGACCCTAATGTTACATAATGACTTGGGATCGGTATTTCTTGATAGTTCACTGGGACCGCCTTCGCTTTCTCAACTCCTCACTCTCCTACCCACTGACTACATCAGCTCCTGGCTGCTCTCTGCCAGCTAAGGCACACAGGCTGCCAAATAGCTTCCTGCTCAAAGATCTCTGCATCCTCTCTGTGCCACGGGCCATCACCCTGCAGCTCCAATGTTTTTTTCCCCAGGTAATTTTCCCCATTTTATTCAACTTACATGGTTTGGATTTAGGGATGAGACCCCAGATCTTCCCAAAGCTGCCCCAAACTGCTCATCCTTTTTTGTGTCATTAGACTGGTTTTAATATCTTCTTACAACAAATGGGTGTTCTATTAACGTGTGAAAAAATTCTGCACTAAACATAATAAAAATGCCACCCTAAATACCATATATGAATACTGATAAGTGTTCCTAATACTGCCTACTAAGACTATTAATGCCAAAAGAAGAAAATAAATATTTGTCATCAGTTCTATCTGGCCAAAAGTCTTCCTTTAGGAATAGAATAACATATTCCTTTGCAGTATATAATTGCTTTAATTATCTTTTGGCCTATCCACAAAAGCTTGGTTCCATCTCTCTCCCCACAGCGTCCGAAAGAATATGCAAATTCTGTTCATTCCAACTCCCAAAATAATAATAATTTTAAAAAAGCCTGAAAAGAACCTCCTTTAGCTATTTAGGAAAGGCTCAGAAAACTTTCTTAGGCATGGCTGTGGTGCATGCCAAGAACTTTCTTATTTGTGGAAGATGTCCCCAAGCCCTTTGCTATTGTTCTGAGGTCCTGCCCTTGCCCAGTCTGGCTTCTCAGCATTCCTATAACAGCTCTGGCTCATCCCCCATCCCATCTCCAGTGTGGATCCTGCAAACGTGGGAAACTGAGTCAAGCCCTTTAAACCTTCCAGACTCAGTGAGGAAGACAAAAGCATGAAATGTAGGAGCTTTTAGGGTTTCTCTCCTCTTAATGAGGAGTTTGCCAGATCCAAGAGCTTCTATCGCTTCTCACGGCTGTAAATGTCTGGTTAACAACCTCCAAGAAAACTCAGCAAAGCCAAAGGGTGGAGGGCTTTGGGAAGCTGGCTCTCCCAAACTTTCTGTTTCCAGCCCACCCTTTGTCTGATATCACTGAAAAGAGCCCAAGAACCCTGGACATGACAGGCAACGGGCCTGTGTGGCATTTAGGGCTGGTCTGTACTGCAAAATGTTCATACGGCAACTTCTCAATTCTTTCTCCTTTTTCCTCCCTGGCTATTAAAAATTCCACTTTTAATGCAAAGCAGAGCCAGAGTTCTGTGACCACCCTATGAGTGCAACAATCTGCAACTCAGTTATAGGAAATCATTCCCTTTAAACGAGACGCTGAGGATGTGATCCAAAACAGGATTTCCAGTATTCCATGACCTAGATGACAGCTGGATTGACTGCCTATCTTATACTCAAAAGTAAAATGGAAAATTATCCAATTTTTCAGTGTGTTAGTGAGAAAATATAAGTGAAAGGAAGTCAAAGAGCAGCCTCTGATGCTCAGTGGAGGTGGCCTTTATGTTGGACAGATTCGTGCATAATTCCAGCACCTGGAGCTTAGAGCTTTTCATCTTGAAAACTTTGGTTGGTGACTGGGTATTACTCCCTTTTTTGTCTCTCAGAGAAGTTAATGGTGCTCTGAGAAAAGCCCTTTGATTTCCCTGTTTTCCAGAGCAGTTGATTATGAAAACGAAGCCTGACTGGAGACTTGCTGTGGGAATGGTATTCAAGCACTGGTTAAGTGCCAGAATGCGTTGGGAAGGAAGAGTTTCCAGAAAAATATCACCCTGATTAAAACCTGATCTGACCGAGTTTTCTCTATGCAAAGGGTTACCAGAATAGTAAGACAACGTTGTTAGTCAGAGTTTCCTTCCCTTACTTGATCATTACCAGTGATGGTTTTATTGCTGCTTTTTGAATGATTATTGTAACAACAGCTCATCCACGAGCTGCTTAGGTACTGCTTGCCTCGCTCCTCACATGATATGTTAAATGTCTTGTTGATGCCTGTCCTTGTTTGGCAATTTTTCCACAATGCCCTTTTATTCTTTATAATATGTTTAATTGGATATATGAGGAAAAGATGGGAAGAAAGCCATAATACCAATGGGATTTTTGCTCCCAACATTATGCTCTTCATGAAGCCACCCTTGTGACTATTAACAGAAAGCAGCCCTTCAAAGGACAAAATTAAATCAGCAGACAGCAGAAGACAATAAAAAATGCTATTTTGATAATTGCAGGGATTATACATTTTTATTTCTTTTTTAAGACCGTTTGTGAAATTCATATGTTTGGTACTTTTCAAAAGATAATAAATACTGTGGGCAGACCATATTTGATAGTGGTTGAGCAAGATCTTTAAAAATGGCCATGGCCATGCTACCACTCTGTAAATATTGACTGAACAAACACCCACCACGGGATTTCTGTGAAACATGACTTCTTTTTTGTTCTCTCTTAGCCATGGATGTGGTTAAAACACCCTACTGTACTCTGAGAGTGCTGTCCTGCTCTTGGTAGGAGATCACAAGATGTTGGGGTTAACTGTCAGATGCTTTGCTCTTCTAAAGACCTTTGCCTTTTAACTAAATGCTTGCTTATCTTTCTAATTTAACATAGTCCCACATTCTTTTTGTAGTAATTTTGGACTATCTGATAACATATAATGGAAAACATGTTTATGTCTTCCACTAGTTCTTGTTGCATATTTCAAATGCTTAGAACAACAATTTTCAGAAGCTTTCATTAAGGTTAATTTAAAAACTACATTAAATACAAACAGATTTTCTCACAAACAAAATGCAATGTGTACTTAACAGACTTCTGTATGTTATATTTGATAAACTACCTCATATAAATGCAAATTCTGACTTTCTGCCAGAACAAGGTGGTACAGAAAATATTTCTATTAAACAAATAATGCTGGGAGAGCAAACTTCAAGTTACAGTATGTTACACTGAGAAAGAAGATTTTTTTTTTCCACTGAGGTCAGATATATATTTATTTTATTTGCTCTGAGTACTATTTTGCTGTTTCTACACTAAAGATGATGTAGCACAGCTCTCTATAAAAGGCAGGTACATGTATGCATAGGATAAATATTTTTAGCCCATTTCTTTGTTATTGTTATAGATGGGTATTGCTGGTTACTTTTGCTTTACAGAACAGTGATATGGAAGGATGTCATGCTTTGAGCTGAATGCCAAGACTGAGCCAGAAGGGTTGGGAAGAGGAGGAGCAATGCTCACCCCTGGAATTGTGAGGTATGATCTGAACAGATCAGATCTGAGCAGAGGTGTGATCTGAACAGAGCGCCGTGCGCGTTCTCATCGCGCTGCCACTGGATAACGCTCGCTTGGTAAAGGAGCGTGAAAAGCAAAGCTGCCAGAGGCCACTAAAGAGCATATGATGGGAACAAACTGAGTCACCAGCAGTGGGGCTGACATTGTTGGTGGAATCTGGGACACCCGCGTGAGCCATTGTTCGCTGCACCTCGTCTGGTTTATGTAGCTGGCTGAGTTGAAAGCTGGATCGGCGCTAACCTTGGGCTTGGAGAGGGATTGGTGCCATGTGGTTTCAATTGTCCATGGATGCTTTCAGCTCCTGCTGCCAGTAACGAGCTGTCCTCCAGGTCCTCCCACAGCCGTGGTGCTGTCCCAGCTCACCCTGATGGGGCTGTGGTGAGCGCTGCTTCCTGATGTGGTCCCTTTCAGCGGGAGCTGCTCTGCTGTCTGCTTGGAGAGAGGGTTTATTCACTCTTCCCTCTGTCCCAGGAGCAGCAGCTGCTGAGTTTTCCCTGAATACATTTTGCTGTGCAAAAGGGCTTTTTTTACTTTTTAAACTGGTTCCTTTCCTGACTTGGTCCGATGCTGCCCTTGGTGCAGTTGTGGGAATTGCTGAGGCTGTGAGTTGTTCTCTTGTGCTCTTTTCATTTGGAGGTTGTGCTGGTTTCACCACCTATTTCCTGGCACACACAGCTCTTGTCTGGGAGTGTTTTTTGTGGACAGGGGGTGATAAGAGCTGTAAAAATAGTGAGAGATCAACCACCACCAAATTACAGCCATGCCTGAGGCAAACTGCGACAGCTTTGTGACGGTGTCACCATGCTATCTTTGTGACAGAGATGGAGATAATGAGAATTAATTAATCAGTCTTTGATTAGAAAAAAAGAGGAGGGGGAAATCCTTGTGCTGTGATTCCACTACAAAAATGCATGGAAGTGGTGAGGTTTTTGTTTGATGTTACTTCTCAAATGTAGGGCAGGCTTTTGTAATGCAGAGCTGAGGGTTTCATGGCTGCTGGCTTGGTTACCCATCACTGATGGACCACAGGGGCAAGAGATCCTCACTTTATAGAAAAACACATGCTCAAAACTAACACCACAAGACCATGGAGATGTTTTTATTCTCACTGTGCAAAATCTGTCTCTTATTTAAAGATCTTGCAAGTCCCAGGTACAACCTTGTTGGCTGGAGTCAACCCTGCCTTCTTTACAGTCCCGGGGGTGAAATTTTGTCTTGTAGTCTTTAGACTGATGGCTAAACCTTAGAAATTGATCTCTTATGATAAAACATGAACTACATGGTGCCAGTGTCTGACTGGAATTACAATTATCTAAGTAGATTCATTTGTATCCCTTTCATAGCAGCTTCTCGCTGGGCACAAGATTTTTCTGTGGGGCATGGGAAGAACTAAATTAATCTTATAAAGAGGAAGGGGTTTACACTGAAATCGATAGTTACAGAATTAACTGGGTAAATGACTTTTTCTTAATTCTTTCTCTTCTCAGAAGATGAAGTTTTGATGGGTACACAAATCCAATGGCTGCCAAAAAGCTGATATCACATGAAATATTTCATCTCAGCTGCGCTGAGCAAGTCTAGACTTTGGTATTAATGAAAACTGAGAGTTTAAAAAACGTCAGTGTTGAAGCAGGGAAAAATGCCCTATTCTGGTTATTAACTATGAGTAACTCATGAAGTTATGTTTTCAAAAAATGTTGTCACTTCAGAAAGAGCTACATGGCTCTCCTAGGCAGTTTTAAGGATAAGCCATATATGCAGTTTTAAGCTTGGACTTAGATAATTCACAAACACAGGGTGTTTGTGCTATTTCAAAGGAGAAAAGCAATGGATTGCACAAGCAGTACGTGTGTCACTGTTGAAATTTTTGAAGCAGTATATATATTTGGTTTGATCTGCAAACTCAAGGGCCCAATTCCCAAGTCAAGTTCATTTCCCTTTGTGTACCTTCAGCACCCACTGCTCTCAGATTCTCACTTTCAGCCAGGTGGAAACAATCTTATAATTTTTTTCTCACCACCAAGCCTTTAGCTTAACTTCAGCTGTTCTTCAGCTGCATTTAGGGGATGCAGCCCCAAAGATGCTGCAGGTTTCCCAGCCCAGCCATAGCACTTCTGCGTAATGACAGTGGTAAAACCTTCTCACATGCAGTTCCCAGAAATGAATTGTACCAAGAGCATCTATAAAAGCTGCAGCATCCTTGTAAAGAGCACATAATGTCATCATTTTTCAGTGGGTATCTTCTCTAAAGGCAAATAATCACTTTTCCCATTAATGGTTGGACTGAAGCTTTTCCCTTCATTCTGATTTCAGCAAAGGTTAGGGGCAGAACATTTAACATGCACATGGGGATGCTACAGGGTGACTCATGTGGCTTCTCACTGTAAATGGTGAAGGCAATATAGTACCTAGGAATTTTTTTCCCCTCTCTATCCTGGGGACTATTTTCATTTTTACTTTTCCCCTTCACTCATTACTCCAGAAATTTTTACAAGGGCATACAGTGACAGGATAAGGGAGAAGAGTTTTAAACTAAAAGAGGGGAGATGTAGGTTTGATGTTTGGAGGAATTTTTTTTTTCTCAAAGGTTTGTGAGGCCCTGGCCCAGCTTGCCCGGAGCAGCTGTGGCTGCCCCTGGATCCCTGGAATTGTCCAAGGCCAGGGTGGATGGGGCTTGGAACAACCTAGGGTAGTGGAAGGTGTCCCTGCCCATGACAAGGGGATGGAATGAGATGAGCTTTGACATCTCTTCCACCTCAAACCATTGAAGGCTTCTTCTGTGATTCTGTGAAATTTGTTTTATCTTCTAATCCATGTTTCATCTCTTACCAGCTTCTCAGACTCCTCTCTGCTGGTAGCACCAAACCACGGTAGCACCAGCTCCTGGTTACATCAGGTACAGTGAATAATTTACCCCAAAACCAGTGTCAGCATTGGAGTGTCCTTTGTCTAGGTGCTATTAACCACCTTTATTCAGAGATACCACAGATGAATGCTGCTTTGATGAGGAAAGGAAATATTTCAGCAGCAGACCTTTCAACCACAGGCTCTCAATTTAATTTTGCCAAAGTCTATCTAACCTGTGGACCCACAGAGTTACAGAAACTTTAATTATAAATACACGTATGTTAATGCCAGCTATCAGCCTGCTCCGGGACCATCATGTTTAACTGCATATACCGTGTGCTAAACCACTGTAGGACAGATGTTCTGCTCAGGGGAATCCAGATGTAGCATCAACACCTGGCTTGTCACTGGCTCCCATGGTTGGTTCTTGGATTAACATCTGAGACACCCACAACAAACCTTTCCCTCATTCTGAATATGCCTTTTGCATTTGGGAACTCCCTGCTGGATTTATTTCACTTGTTCACATGGGAATGTCACACCCTGGCATCTAAATCCCAGGTCAGTGTTAAAAATTTGAATTCCAAGCTGTCCCTTTATGCTGTCTACTTGCAAATACCACATCACTGTTGCAAACTCTTTTCTTATTTGTTTCCAAGGAGCAATCAGAATCAGAGTCCTGAAAACTCCAGATTTTATGTTGGGTGTTTCTCTCTAATTTGTCATTGGCCTCTAATTTGTCTAATTTGTCATTGGCCTCAATTAGCAGCCAGCTCCTGTGTCAGATGCAGCTTGTATCCATCTAGGAATTGTATGGGAGAACCTTCACTGACTTGAGGACCAGGGGCCAAGTTTAATTCTCTTTATGCTGCATGTTAGCAACTCTCAAAGTAGGGACCGTTGGGAACATTTAAATGCATTTAGTTATTTCCAGGCTTATTATTTCACTATAATGCTTTGCTTTTAAAACATTCTGTCCTCTCCAGTAAATTCACTTGTGTACAACTTCTGATCTCAAACCAAAGTTTTAATTTACTGAATTTTTTTTCTGTTAAAAAATATGATTCTTCTTTTCATTGCCCCGTGCTTAAAAAATTCCTTGTGTGTACTCCTTGCTGCGATTCAGGGTATTTATGAATGGTTCTACATAAAAGGAATGAAAATAACTAATTATAATAATACCACTAAAAGCCATGGCTGGCTAGAAAGTGGAAATCCCTGCCCATTACATATTTTCTGGTCTTAGAAAAGAAATTAATCCAACTCTTGGATGAAAATTGAAAACCACAACATTTTTCATATGAAAGGATTTCCAAAAATATAATATTTTTAGAAATTCACAATTTAAGTTGCTGATAAAACTGAAATTGATTTGAAAAATTCAACCAGTTAAAAAGAAATCTGTATTGTAGTGACACAGAGAGAAAACTTTTCAAGCCAAATACTGTTTTCCTTTTCATGGAGAGGACATTTTCTATCAGAAAAGCAATTTTGACAGAAAAGTCCTGCTATGGTCTGCTAATTAGAGCATCTGGTGCACCCAGCTGGCCCAAGGTAAGAGCAGCTATGAGTATGGAGCAACATTTGCCCGACCAGTTCTTTCAGCTCCTAAGGACAAGAGCCATCAGAGACTCCAAGAAATAATTCCAAATGTCCTTGCCCTGAGCCAGGCCTTGCTCTGGTCCAGTCTGTGGCGAAAAGGAGGACTGGGACATCCCCGTGGATGAGGAAAGGTTTTCCTGTTGGCACCCAGCAGAGAGACACCACATGGTTTGTCATCAGGATTCAGCGAGAGGTGAGACCAAGAACTGTTTAATACTGGAAGCACAGAGACCAACCCTGGCCCTGTCCTGTCCTGAGCTCTCTGGCACAAATATCCACATCCCTTCCAGACATCCTGGTTTCTACCTTGAGCCTCTAGAAACAAATGTCAGGGAGAAGGTTCTACTGAAAATTTTATTTTATTTTATTTTATTTTGTTTTATTTTATTTTATTTTATTTTATTTCTATCACAGAATAGTAGAATGGTTTGTGTTCAGAGGGGCCTTAAAGATTATCTCATTGCAAACCCTGCCATGGGATCATTGGCATTTTCCACTACCCCAGGTTGTTCCAAGCCCTGTCCAACCTGGCCTTGGACACTTCCAGGGATGCCATAGCCACAGTTTCTCTGGGGACCCTGTGCCAGGGTGTCACCACCCTCACAGGGAAGAATTATTCCCAAAATCCAGTTTAAACCTACTCTCTTGTCAGTTTGAAGGCATTCTCCCTTGTCCTGTCACTCCAGGCCCTTGTAAATTTTCTCCTACCACATTTCTTGCAGGTTTCCATCACGTACTGGAAGGCCAAAATTAGATCACCCCAAAGCCTTCCATGTTTGGGGGAGGGCTTTTTCCCCATTTTGATCTGAAAAAAAATTGATTTTATCATTCTTGGTAAACTTTGTCACTTTGACTTTTTTTTTAATAAATGTTAAAAATTTGGGGAGAGATACTTAAAAAAAAGTTAACAGGATGGGATCAGCAGGGGTTCCTCTGAGCACTGGGTCACTCTCACAGTTTATAATCCCATTTGTGGATTGGTCAAGCCCCATCTCCTACAGCCTCTGAAGCTGCTTTTTTTCTTCCATCCCTCATCCCCATGCTCCTGTGGGCCAGCTGTGGGACAGTTCACACTGCAGGTCCCTTTATCAGCCTTCTCCCAAAGCTCATTATTGCCAGATTATATCCATTCATATTTGGGTTAATTACAAATCTTCTCCCCACTTCTTTCAACCCCGTTGGTTTATCTATAGACAGAAACTGCATCTACCCTTTGATTTATCAGGCTGAGCTTGCCCAGCTTCTTTAATCTCCTCTGACAACACCTACAGGCTCTGCTCTGCTCACCTACAAGTCCCTCTTTGCAGATGTTCTCATCAGAATTAATCTGAACTGATACCAGGTTAACCTGACACATGCTACCTTCCAGAAACCCATATGGCAATGCTGCTCATTTTGTATTTACTTCCACATCCAGAGATTTTTTTTTTCCTTCTTTCTGTTCTCATGCCCAGTCTTAAACACCATTTTTCCACCTGGTGGGCTTGAACTTGAGACAATCTTTTCTCTTTCCCATATGTACCTCTGTAAATCCTCATAGGAAATGCCCTGTGGTACATTTCAATTTACTCCATTTCTCTAAATTTCACACAGTTTCTAGTCCAAGAACAAATTTGTCATAATGAATTAATCTGTTATAGAGGCAGACAAATACATATGAGAAAATGCACATCTATATACACAGAGAAATAAAATACATATAAAAATATATGTTTACATGTAAGTATATATATTTTTGAGAAAGGAAGGCTTATAGAAAGAGATATATATAACAAAATATAAAAAAAATATGAACGAATTTTAGTCATCATCATATTTCTGGGTTGGATTTGGGACATAACACTATCAGAGTAGAAGGAGAAATTGTGGATTCAAATTTTCATGGTACCTAAATGGGAGATGGGATTAATGATTCTTGGTGTGTGACCCTATCCACTGAAATGAAGACATTGTTCTGAGTCACACTTGTTTAGTCAAGACTTGCTGCAGTCCTGCAATAATGAGTTTTCACAAAGCCACTTTTTGCATAGTTAAGCAAATACACTGTTAATTTGAGAAAATGATAGTCAAAGCTCAATAAACATTGATAGGTACAGCGTGTTATTTAGTCACATAAACCCTTTTTAACAAACTACTTTGAATCAACAGATAAAAATAATTCAAAATTAACTTGCTAGACTCAGCCCCTAAGTGCACGCACAGTTTCCATGGAAGTCAGCATGTTGTAGGGCAGAATTTAGTCTGTGTATTTAATTCATCTTAATCACTATTATTAATTCATAACTACTGTTTCCAGAAATGTATTCAGTTAGTTTTACATTAGTCAAAATCAATTGTATGTGATTTATTTTGATCATTCAAGATTACAGTTTTGATGTATTTGCTCTCATCCTCTATGTCAAGCCAGGGAAAGTGGGAATGCTTTGCTAAGGAAGAGTCACCTTCCATCACCAATTTAGGCTTTATTTCCCTACACTGGGAGTTCACATATTCTTTGGAACAATCCTGGTTCTGGTAGATTTTTACAACGGGATGATGCAGTGGATAATGAAATGTCATTGAGGTGCCCAGCTATGGTGTCCACCACCATGTTGGTGGTTCCAGGTTGGTGGCCCCAGGTTCTCTAGAACTAGACTCAGATATGGGAGAATTACCCAAAATTTGGCTCAGCACCATCAAACATGGTTCAGAATTGGCTGGATCTTACTTCATCCAGACCAGCAGCTTTCTAAAGACTGATTTCAAATTAAGGGTTTAGCTTCTTCTGGGCACCCACCAACTTCTGTGCTGCAAGGAACATGATATCCTTGTGCAGACTCAGGGTTTTGGGCAGGCCTGTGATGCTTCAGATATGGAAATTCACTTGGGACAAGTGTTTGGTGCCTCCTGTGATTTCAGAGTGAGCAGAGTGTGTCAACAGCTTCTCCAAGAAGGGCCAATTTTGGACACATAAGGGCACAGAAAAGTTAGAGTTGGAAGAGACCTTAAAAAAAATGCAGCTCATGGCCGGGGAACTTTTCACTAGAATTTATCCAGCCTGCAGGAACAGTGACTATGACATATCTTACTTTTACAGGTGTCTTTGCTGGAGATTCTCATGGGAGTAACTTAAAGAATCAGACCCTCAGTTTACAAATGTAAGTAGTGCCTCTGGGTTGAAGGAGGGTTTTGTTTGACTCTTTTTCTTTATCATTACACTGAGTCTCACTCAGGCTGTGTCTCCACTTTGGACTCCCTTGTTGCCAGCTGGAAACACCACTAAGGAATAACCCTGGATGTTGAAGTCCATTCAACTCCAACCCATGATTACACATCTTCTGAAGACTCTCATTACCTTCCCCGCATATCTTTGTCTTTTCTCCCAGTCTTCCCAGTCAAGGATTACCATTTTGCAAAACAAAAAAACACTCCTATTTTTGTTTCTTTAACGGCATCTCCAGCCACAATTCTTTCTGGTGGAGGGAAGAATCCTGGTGTTTAAACCTGGGATCCACTTGAGAGAAACCTCCCTGGATTTGCATGGCTCAGGGCTGTTGTAGAGTGAGCTGGGTGAAGCTGAATTCGTAAAGCTTTGGTGGAATTAAAACAGCATGCTCCGTACCAAGATGCCTTCACTTCCTGTGCCTTAATGTTAAATCCTATAGTATTGTGGATCTTAAAGATGATTGAGTTATTTTTAAACCACTGGATGTCTTCCAGTCACTCTATTTCACACTGGATTAATTATGTAAGAATACTGACTTGTTCGTCACTAATGTTACAACTTTTAAAAACAACATGCTGTTTAAATTCAAGCTTGGCAACTCTTGCCTGAATCCCCTCAAATTTATGGCACCACACCCATAGCATAATAAAATCTTTAGTGGTCCTTTGTCTTTTAGCTTGCCTTCTATTTTTTCTCAAGGGTGTTTTACGCTGGAAGATGCATACAAAAGTTGTCCAGATGTTATTTGTATCAGAGCAGAGATTTCAGTCCAGCTATCTGTGGTTGCAAATGTTTATTTTAATGGGTTATTGTGCAATCCTCACTGCGCGGACCTCAGCGGCCTTATATGTACGTTCTCAGCCATGCCAGCACATTGCTTTTGGAGATTTTTTTATTTTAGTCCAATCGCAGTGGAAATGGTCACTGGGGAGAGCAAAAAATGTAACACCTGTAGGAGCCCTGCAGGGCGGTGTTTTGGCCGAGCTGGGTGCGAAGCTGGTGGGCGTTGGGTGGGAGCAAGGGCTGAGACAAAGAGCTCAGCCTGGCCACCACGGCCTGGATGTGCTGGGAGTTTATTTTACCCTGGCTGTTGCAACAAACAGAAGGGTGGGTTTATCAAACATTTTTGGGAGCCTCGTAAAAGGCTAAGCGACGTTTCCTTGATGCCGGAGTGAGTTGTTTATCTCGTAACTAAAACCACGCCGTGTGCGCGCCAATTAGGGCCGCGGATTTCAGCTCATTAAGATGAATTTAAGAGGAGAGTTTCGTTGTGTGCTGTAAGGACTGGGAACTGTGGCAGGATGGAAATATCTGCAGAGTCCGGAGCCTTCTGTGGAGCCTGTGAGCTGAGCTAGGCAGAGCTCAGTGCTGAGGGCTCATCTGCAGGCTCTGCTTTACCTGTGTGGGTCCTGTTGAGACCCAGGTCCCTCGTGGCAAAGAGTTTAAAGCTAAATTTGCATGCTGAAAGTGCCCAGCCTTGCATTTCCAAGAAATGTGAGTGAGCAAGATGACGGCAATTAATGACAATGACACTCATTTGCACATGCAAAGAATCAAGACCATTTAACCTTTAAGAGAAAACAGCCATTATATTTTAAAGTTGTTTTATGTATTAACAGTCACATATTATTTTGATGTGCTTAATTAATATAAATAAGCTTCAGCCATTATACTGTCATTTAAACCCGCATAATTTCCTTTTTGTAGGAATTTGTGTGTAATTTACACTGTTGCATTCAGCTCCCAATGTTCCAAGATCATGCTTCAAATAATTAGATTTTAAAAATACAATTGGAATTGTTCTTTGTCTTTTGATTTTTCTGCAGTAAACACATTTTGAACTTCTCAATAATAAGGACCAGGGGCTTGTTTTTAAAAGCCAAAGTCGATGTTTTGAAGCATCATATTATTCCCGGAGCATGGGCTTTGGTTAAATGGTCTGGTGAAATGGGTACCATCAGCAACACAGACCTTGTTTGTAGTTCTGCCCATCCTCGCTTGTTTTCAACACTGTTCAATTACAGAGGGCTTTACCACTAGGAAATTAGCCCAAATAACTATCTTACCCTCAAATTGAAGGTATCATGTCACTAGTGAGTGGCATCAACCCTGTCAGGGAGATGACTTAATTTGGAGCTACTGGAAGCAGATAATAGATGGCCCTTTATAAATATGGGTCTGGGAATGGCATTAAATATTTGTGTTCGTGAGATTGTAGAGTTGGGAGGATATGGGATGTGGCCTTTCTGATGAGACCCCACTTTCCCTGTGCATGATGCATCCCCTCCCTTGTGCCAGTCCCCAGAACAAAAAGGGCCAAATATTTCATCTTGGAGCTCCTCCATGCCAGGGAAATCCTGGGTGTGATAAATGGCAAATCCTGCAGAGATTGGGGAAATTCACATCCATGAGATCCAGCTCTCCTTTGCCATCAGGGTGGGAGCTGCAGGTCCCTGTGTTCCTGTGGTCACTCCACCTGTGGGTCATGGTGGTTGAAACCCTGCAGCAACGCCTGGGAAAAAACAAATCCCCTTCTCAGGTCTTGGCAGGTGGCTCGGAAATCAATTGCTTTTCATTTATGTTCTGTAGAAAGTAAATGCATTTGTAAATTTGAAAGCAGCTGCTGACGCTCAGCAGTAAACCAAAGCGATTTTGTTTTACAAAACCTTTGCTGTTTGGTCTTAGCTGGTGGAGCTGCACATGGATCCAGCACTGCTCTTCGCATTGCAGGGAAGATTTTGTCTAGCTGCCTCTGTGACATATGGTAATGCTTAGTGTGTGCTGTATGGCCTGGAGCCATACCACTGCAGCCTGTATGCTGCTCAGATCTCCCAGGCTAAGGGAATCGGGACGAGACAGCGTTTGAATGCAAGGGACCTCCTAGAAAAAGTCAGAGTGCAGCGTTTTCTGCCGGTACGAGGACAGGATGTTCCTCCCTCAGGGCTGAGGCAATTCCCCACACGGGGCTAAGGTGGCTGTACTCTCCCAGCCGTGGCTTTTTGGACTCGGATTATGAGAGACCACTAATGCGCCGTAAAAGATCTCACAGCTCTCAGCCATGGGAAAACAGCAAACAATCCCACTTCCCAAGGTAACCCAGAGGAAGTGGTGGCGTGCAGGAAAGCACTGCGAGACCTTTTCTCATCTTGTTCCTGGGGGCAGGACGTTCCCATCACCACCTTCCCTTTCAGGGTGCAGCTAAGCCTGCCGAACAATCACTGCTTGTTTCTCACACAGATTGCTCCCAGGCTCCCCGGGAAGCAGAGGGAATTCCAGAGGCACCCTCAGCACAGCCCAGTGGGCGCAGAAACCCACCCGTGTCAGGGTGGGAAAGGAGGGAAGCAGCATGGCTCGCAGGGAGGCTTTGCATCCTCTTCTTGGCGATGTTATTAATTCGTTCTGGGACGTTGGGAGACTCGTTTAACCTCTCTTTGTCTCAGATTCAAACCTCTACAAGCAGTTATTATAACATTTGGCTGCATTATGGCATTGTTGAAAGGCTTAATTAAATTAAGTGTTCTGAGATCTTTGAATGAAAGGTGCTATCCAAGTGAAAGCCTGTTGATGATGATGACTCCAAATTATGAGGCCAAGTCCTTCACATGTTTTACTCAGTCCTTGGTTAGGCAAAGTTATTTTAAAACACCGTATTTGATGTAGCATTAAAATTGTTTGGGGAGTGCCATGTGTAAAGACACGACATCTGACCCACAGTGGGAGGGATTTGTCACTGGAGGGTTTTAATGGCAGCAACCAACCACACATCATCCACATGCAGGAAATCCTGCTGGTCACAAGCAGTTTTTAATTGTTTGTTTGGTTTGGTTTGGTTTTTGTAAATTTATTTGAAGACCTTTATTGGGAAGAATGGCCAGGACTCTCAGTTATTTCAGGAGAAATGCTGTCTCAGGTGGGAAATTAAAAAGAGCTGCTCGATCAAAGTTCGTAGGCGTCTCAGCCAAAAGATGCATTAGCAGATGTCTTCTTTCTTCCAACCTGTCAGTGCCTCCCTAGAAAAACAACAAAGTCTGTTGGGACTTTCACTAGGTGGTATCTTACCAACAGCAAGAAGGCAAAATTGCAAATATCTTTTTTTAATTTTGATTCTTTTGCAACCTATGCAAAAATTCCTCTGCTTTGGCAGGAGTAGTCCTAAAACTCCTGTCTTTTCTTCCTACCAAACTTCTCCTTACCTGTTTCTTCAGTTCATCTTTGCCTCTGCCAGAATCCCTGACACTCTTATCCTCAGCACTTTCTCCTTTAGCATCTTTTCGTCTTAATTTGAAAGACACAGTTTTCCTGACTGCTTTTATCAGGAAGCTTTTTTCCCCCAATATTACCCTGTAATCACAAAAGTCTGCTGCCATCCTGAGCAAGTTATCAACCCTTCCTAGCCTTTCCCACCAGTTTATCTCCTTTTCCAGTTTCTCTCTATTGTACAAAACCCACCTTAGCAAATTTACCAGAAACACGAGAGTGAATCATATAATTGTTCATGAAGTTCAAGACTTTATGAGGATATTTTAAATGGGCTAATTGTTTTGCTGGATACCACAGGCACAGGACCACATCTAAAGTCCGGGCTCCTTAAAGGTCTGCTTTACAGCCTATTATATAATGTGTGATCCTTTCAATAGACAGGAAGGATGGTATTTTGGTTAAAGCCTCCAGGAGATCAGGATTCAGCTTCTAGCTCTGCACACTTCCTGTGTGGTTTTGGGAAAGACACTTTGTGCCATAATTCCCCATCTGCAAACTAAAGATGATATTACATCCTGTTTCTCACCTTCTCCCTGCAAGCTCTGTAAAGCTGCAGAGCCTGTAAGCACTGTAGAGCAAATAATGTCACTTTTTAATGCAACACTCTCCACAACAGCATTTCAGTCTCAGCTGAAGACTAATGACTATTGTGGTGTTAATAATAAATAATCATTGTAATCATACATAAGACTTTCAGCCTTACTTGCACTTAAGGTTGATTCTTCCAGACTTTCTGCAAGTTTACCTTGGAACCAGTCTGAGCAAAGAATAAGCATATCAAACTGTGCTAAATAAGGTGGATTTCTTTTCCCATGTACTTTCTCTGTATTTGCTGAAGGACAAGGAACAGTAGACTTAAGACCATCAAACTCATTTCACCTTTGTAATATTTAAACTAATTAGTCCCAGAGATGAAAAACGCATTGCTCAGATTCCAGATAATCTTAAACAAAACACTCCATGCTGATTTTATTCTGCTTCTATCTGTGCAAAGATTAAACAAAACCCACAGTTGGTTTCATCTGCCAGGCTCTAAAAAAAATCATGTCACAGAAAGAGAAAGGGGGGAAAATAAATCCAAGGCAAGGTTTGCAGTGCTCTGAGCTTGCTCATCCTTAGTTTATCTTCTGCAAATGAGCATGTATAAAACAGTCCACCTACTGTTCTAGTTGCTACGATATAATGCAGTTCCACTGAATGATCCTGTTAACCTAACCTTCAATTTGCTGGGATTTGAACTCTGAATTACAGCTTACTAACATAGTTTAACAGCTGGTACAAGGGCTTCTTTTGAATTTTTAATCACATGAATTAAAGATTGCTGGAGATGCTTTTCAGACCTCCACTAGCACTGATCCAATGTACAGAAAGACAAGTATAGGTAGCCCCATGAGGATTAAGAGCACAAAGGTACTATGGCTTGTGAAGCTATGCTGCACTCTTTGCTTGCCAAATTAGGAATACTGGTGCAAATTATTCATGTGAAGATAAATTCACATTATGACTCCAAATGGATTTAAAACCCCCTTTTTAGCTCACATTTTTATACACAGTGTGCAATGCCGGAGCACAGGTTTTGAAGATAAAGCTTAGTTTAGCAAAATGTTTCTTCTGTTCCGTGTACAAAGGGAACACAGACATTCACACACAAAGCAAGAGAGAGAGAAAGAAATATATATAGAGTGATTGCAACTGATATCTGGAATGCAATGAAAACAAACATGACCGTCTGTGGATGTTTCAGGGTGGATGTAATCATTTGTTGCCGTCGTACAGCGTGCGGAATGCGCGTGTTTAGATTCTGCACTCTTTGTGTCTCCCGTTATTTATTCCAAGAAGATCTTTCTTATTGAGGATATTTCTCAGGGAAAGGAGGAAAAAAAAAAAGAAAGGAAAGGGAGAAAAAAAATAGACAAAAATGTAGTTCAACTGGAAGCTTCTCTACCCTGACACGCCAGCTGATGAGTGCTGTGAGAACTTGGGAAAACAGACCCTGTCTCTGAAGTTCACTACCCCTGCAAGCCTGGAGATCAGCAGAATAGAGTGGATGGAGTTGTTTAAACAAAGTAAGTAGGGGGAGGAAAAAAAAAAACCTTAAAAAAAATCAACTAAAATAAAATTAGGGCAGCAGGAACAAGAAAGCATGTTGCTTCTTAATTATGCTGTGTTCTCCCTCTAATGGATTGGCCTCCCCACACGCTCTAAGTAAAGCAACTGGCATGTGGCATCCTCTGCAGAGAGAGGAGCAGTGGCAAGTGTACAGCTGTTCGTGCTGACACACAGGTGTTGGATTTTTGGATCTGTTAGCTAGACAGATTTTTAAGGGTGTACGGGGGAATCATCTGCAGTTGTTGCGCAGAAAGTGAGTTGTCCATGAATACCGGAGTTAATTATTGTGTAAATCCCGCTCCACAGCCAAGGCTGGGGCTGGGGTAGGAGCTGTGTTCCCCCCATGCCCTGCCAGCTCTGGGTCAATGTCTGATTTCCCTGTTCATGGAGTGCTGTGGTGGGCTGGCAGTGATAGCTGTGGCAGCAGAGGCAGCAGGGTCAGGTGGGGATGAGCAGCCAGGGTGATCCCTGCCCCTCTCAGCTGGCATGGGAAGATGGAAGTGGCCCTGCCAAATCACTGAAGAGGTGATGCTGAAGCTCCAGGGATGCTTTTGCCAGTCCTCAGGGAAAGCCTGAAGAGCAGCAGGTGGGGAGAGTGTTCAGGCAGACCTTTAGCAGTTTATTGTCCTTTTATCAGCAGGACTTGCTCTGGCACTGAGAGCTCGTGCTGCACTGACAGTCCTGAGCACCACGGTGGCTTTGGGCAGTGTGCAGCTGGGGAAGAATGCATCTGAGTGGAAACAAGGAATATCATCTCCTACCAAACTCCCCCTATGGATAGGCAGTGATTTCTCCTTTCTCCTTTGCAAGGGTCTTCACCCAAGGATGCCTTGGTTTCCTCAAATAGTATATTATTTGATTTCATGAAATTGATGTTATTTCAATACAGAGCAGGGTGCCATGTTTTCTGTAAATCACTAATATGTATAAAACTTTATATTTCTGATGTTCTTTATATTTTTAATGAGCTGTCAAGTGAAACAGAGCTGTCAAGAGTGACTGGAGGGATGTGACTGAGGAAGGCCAGGTTGGAAAGGGCTTTGGGCACCCTGGTCTTGTGGAAGGTATCTCTGCCCATGGGGAGGGGGCTTGGGAAGAGTTGGACTTTAAGTTCACTTTCAACCCAAACTATTCTATGATCTCAAGGTAAAAGGTTTGGATCAGCTGCAGTTTATGGGACAGTTTCTCCTCCCTGTTGCTTCCGGGCTCCTGGGGTGGATCAGAGAGCTGCTGATGGGTTTTCTCTTAACCTGCACCCAAAAGCTCAGAGGGATAAATGCTACAACTTTTTGGCCAATTTTAGACACAATTTCATCCTGATAGAAATTAAATTTTGTTTTGTATGCTCTGGGACCCCTGGGTGGGCTGCCCTGAGCCCTGCCAGGTGTGTGTGATTCTCTGCCTCCTGCTCTGACCTGACCAGGCTGCATCACTCTGGTGGTGGCTGAGCATCGCTCCCAGGGGCAGCGCCAGGGGAGCAGCAGGAGCAGCACGGGCAGCGTTAACGCTCCCCTGTAATTCAGATTTGAGTGATGAAACCCAAGAATGCAGAGCAGCTGGGAGCGGGTCTCAGAGTGCTGATATTGGGCAAGCTGGGGAGTATCACATTTCTACCCAGGGAATAGACTTTTTCTTTTTTTTTTTTTTTTTTTTCCCTTTCCCTTAGGGTTAAGTCTTTTGTTTTGTTTGTGTGTTCTGCTCTTAGTTTCACTCTTTTCCCCGAAGTTCACAATGGGAAATAAATCTAACTCATCTCTTTTTCTTGCAGTTTCCCAGGGAGGAGGAGAGGAGCAACACCTCATCCCACTCTCTGGTGACTCCCAGCCTCTCTCTTCAATCTCCCTCTCGCTCCTGGCCTGGCCTCTCCGTGCAGATCCAGAGGTCTGGATGTTACCATCTGTTTTGAGTAGAAAAAGCTGCCATTTTTTTTAAAAAGGTTGCAGAGTGAACAGGTTGGACCAGTTGCTGCCAGGGTGGAGTTCTAACTGTTTGTTATTGTAATCACTGGTCATTTTTGTAAACTACCTGTCACTGATGGTTAAGAACCACCATCCAGGAGGATGACCCTTCTCGGACAGTGAAAGGAGGGGACATCGGAGGGCGTGCAAATGACCTCGGAGCCAGCATGCCATGGGAAAGCCACCCCACCAAACTCACCAAAAGACCCCAAAAGCAACGAGCCAACACAGAATTAAGAGATCAAAGTGATGCCTGGACGTGAGGAACAAAATCCAGAGCCTGCACAGAGGCTGAGATCCTTCTTTGCCCCTCGCCCCAGCCAAGGAAGACCTTGGCTAGAGGCAGGACCCTGGGAGTCAAACCAAAAAAGCAGAACAAGGGGATTTCCCAATGCTCTCATGAGGATGAAATTGTCTAAAATTGGCCAAATAAGAAGCTGCAGCATATATCCCTTTAAGCTGTTGGGTGCAGTTGGTGAGCAAACCCATCAGCAGCCCTCTGATCCACCCCAGGAGCTCTGAAGCAGCAGGAAGGAAAAATTGTCCCATAAACTGCAGCTGGTCCAATCCTTTTACCTTGAGATGATAGAATGGTTTGCAGAGACACTGAGACCCTTTTATGCCCCTCGCCCCAGCCATGGAGGACCTCAGCTAGAGGCAGGACCCTGGGAGACAAACCAAAAAAGAGGATTTCCCGATGGTCTCGTGAGGATGGAACCCCCAGCCCTGCCCACAGATGCGAGGACAAAGCTGCGCTCTTCATCCTCCTCCTCTGAGTCATTCCTGAGAGCAGTGGCGGCGTGAGCGTGGACCCATCAGTTCTCCCCACCCAAGCTGATCACTTTCAATAAAGGCACTAAAAAGGAGGAAGGTCTCCTGCCCGTGTTTATTTCACCATCCATCACAGCAGCTCCGGTTCCAGCGCTTGCTAAACGCCTGAATTTCCCGCTGGCTCCGTGAACAGCTTCCAGCTTGTGGTACATTGCACAGGCACCGGGTGAATGGGGCTGAGCAATGTTCCTGTTTGGCTGCGAGCGCCGCGTTCACCTGAGCTGGCTGGCAGGATGAATGGTTCACCACAGCTCTGCTGCTAACCCCCTTTGTGAACTAGCAGTGAGCCATGTACCTTATTACAAAGGCCGACAGCTCCCTGGAAACTTAAATCCACTCTTTTCCCCCGTTCCCGACCATAGGGAGCTGTAAAAGAAAAGGACTTGGTTGGTAGGCATGTAATATAACAAAAAGCCCTCTGTTGTGGCAAGATCCAGACTCCCCAGTAACAATGGGGATTATGCTCTCGCATCGAAAATGCAGTTGCTAGTTTTAACTGCAGTACCTTATTACAGATTCCTACAGAGCACATTTATGTCAGGGGCTTGGATGTTTAACTTCAGTCAAGCCTGGTAGCAAAGAGAGCTCGGCAACCTCTGCTTTGGGTTGGTTTTTTCTCTCTCTTTTTTTAATATGAAGGGGGAAGATGCAGCTCAATTTGCTGCTGTGGTGCTACCTTTCCTCAAACCACTTCTCAGGGAGCTTTAAATAGCCTGACACTGGCACCGGGCATGAGCTGGCAGAAAAAAATGGATTTTTTCATCTGATGGCTCGCCAGGGCTGTTTTCAAGGAGGAGAAGTAGAAGAAGAAGGGGAAAGAAAAAACCCAAAAAGACCCTTTCGCATGCCAGTCATTCATTGCCTGCCAGTTCCCATGGTTCTCCTACGGATGGTAGCCACAGAACTATTCAAAGTACAGTAAACACTGAGGAAAGTGAAAAGAAACTCATGAAGCAGAGAACAGAGAAGGAAAAAGAGTTGGGTATGGGATACAGGGCAGTAAGAGTCACCTAGGGATTACTTTAGGGCGTACCATGAATGCTTCACTCCGTGCCAGTAGGAGCTGGACCAGCACATTTTAGGGAGGATCCACCTCACTTCTGCAGGATGGGGAAACCAGCTGATGTCACAGCAAGTGAAGGCAGAGGGGAGGCAGTGACTCTGCTCTGGGGTGTCCAATATGGAAAAGAAGGTGTTTACAATGTCATTTAGGGAAGAGTATGTACAGTCCCTGCTCTTGGGAAGAGTATGTACAGTCCTCTGCATGGACTGCAGATCCCAGGGGACTTGGGCCATCACTCTCTTTTCTGCTCTTTCATCCTCTGGAGTGGATTAAATGTTTGTGGGGTTTTTTTTTATTTTAATTTTCTTATTAATATTAATTATTATTTGCTTCATAAGTCAGGGAAGGAAACAAAAAGAGAGGAGATGAAGTGTGACATCCCATCCCTGGAAGTGTCCAAGGTCAGTTTGTATGGGGCTTGGAGCAATCTGGGATAGTGGAAGATGTCCCTGCTCATGGTAGGGGGTTGGAATAAGATGAGCTTTAAGGTTCCTTATAATCCAAATCAGTCCATGATTCTAAGTTTTGCAGTTTTCTTGACATGAACTCATTTCTCTTTCCTCCAGGGCAGGGGAGCTGTAGATGGTGATCTCCATAACGAGACCACTGGTGCAAGGGACATCTGCCTTGCCTTCTCTGCGTGTGTCATATTTAACCCCCTGGGAGGAGAGGTGATGTACCAGAGAAAACAGAATTACCTCATTCAGAGCAAAACTTTCTTAGAGAGACAGAGTTTATCACTATGGATTTTTCTGATATGGTTAAGCACAGGAAAGATGCTGAGATGGATCAAAACCTTCCTTCTCTGGGAGTGGTACAATGTGGTTTCCATACTGGTTTTCCTCTAATATTTTCATTAACAAAAATATCCTTCCTTTGACAAGCTGTTTGAAACCCTACGGATTTATTTCTTGTTTACATTATGAGTTGCACAAATCAAACCATACAGGATTGGATCAGAGGATAGCTTTCCACTGAGGATAGCTTTCCACTGACTCAGATTTAGAGATAATGAGAAGTCCCACTGGCCTGGGACACTTGTGAGATTCATCTCTTGAGCTTCTTGTGCTTCAGGTTGGTACCTGACACAGACTCCTGGTCCTGTGACTTTTACAATTCCAGTTACTCTTCCTGGTGCCATGTGAGGGTCTCCCCTGCATTCCTGTGTGGGACCGGTTTGTTCCCTGATTTTGTACTCTTGTGTGAAATGAAAACTCGAGAGTTACTTACTGTATCTGAGAAGCAGCCAGGCTGACAGCAACCTCTGCTTTTAGAGATTCAAAGGGAGCTCTCAGCCTCCTGCTGCTCGACCTGACCTCCCTCAAACACTCCCCTGATGCTGCTCCCTGCCTTCCTACAGCTGAGGTGGGGATCAAGCCACTTTCACCCTTTCACAACTCCGTCTCACATCTGTCCTCTCCAATATCACTTGCAGGTGCTTTGAGAAGTCCCACACACACTTCAGGCTGCCTTTTTCCTCCCCGCTTTGCTCTGCTCTGAAACAGGCTGCCCTGTACATTGGATCTGCTCCTCGAGTGCCCCTCTTCAATAAAGCCCAGGTGTTCCTGCAGGCTGCTGTCCCACTGCCAGGCTTGTGCTCTGCACAACACCCTGGCGTGGTGATGGAAGAGTTAATGATCTCCCAGCCTGCTGCTGGGGGATTATTCAGCACACCAGGTGCCTGCTGCACTCTCACTGGCGAGAAGAGCCTGGGAACAGGGAGGAGTCAGGGCTGCAGCTGTGTGAGAGAGGGGCCTGGGAGCTGCTGAGACACTCGGCATCTCCCTGGGACCCTCTGCTCTTACACAGACACAGGGCATGGGCTGAGCAAACCCCAGCCATCCAGCACCCCCTTTGTGGCTGCACAGCACTGAGGGGCTCACCAGCACCCTCAGAGTCTGCTGGCACTGAGATTTGGGCAGGTGCTCATCACCACCTTTCACCTGTTGCTTGTAAAGCCGTTCTGCTCAAGTACAAACACTTCCCGTGGCTGTGGGGAAATATAAATGTTGCTGTGACTTGTAGTTCCTCTTATCTTCACAAGAGTCAGACTTCAAGATACCTAAAAGCTCTTATTGCTCTCCTTAGGTTCTCTTCTCCAAGTGAGGCTTCCTCTTCTTTCAAACACAGTTTGATTTTGGAGTTTTTTGGTGGATTTTGTGAGTTTTTTTCTCTAAAAAATACATAATTTGATACCATAAGTAACTGCATAGCAAAAGGTTGGGGTGGGGAGCAATTGTCGCGGGAGACCAGGAACTCCTTTTGCTGTCCAAAATATGGTTGGACATTAGGAAGTATTTCTGCACTGAAAAGGTCATTAAGCATTGCAAGGGGCTGCCCAGGGAGCTGTGGAGCCCCTGGAGGGGTTCCAGGAACCTCAGTGCTCTGGATTAGTTGTCAGGGTGGTGTTTGGTCAAAGATTGAGTTTGATGATCTTGGAGGGCTTTTTCAACCTAAACAATTCTGTGATTCTTTGATCTTTGTAACCCTTTGCTCCATCACAAGCTTTCCACTGGTCTGAGAGGCTCCTGCCCTTCTGTGCCCTCATTTCAAGAAGGATATGGCTTTGTACCACTAAAAGAGGTACACAAGGGAAGGGAGAGCTGACAATGACTCTCTTTAGGGTGTTTCTCTGACTCTTTATGCTCTAGGAAATGAAGGAGTGGGAGGAACACACTTGGTGCAAGCATGCCTACCTGTGACCCCACACTTGTGCAGCAGGCCCCTGTGGAGCTTCCTTCATGCCCCTGATGATTTACAGGGGAATTGGCAGCAGGAAATACAGCTGGGAAAAGTCTGCTATGCTACAAAATAAAGTAAGTTCTGTATATGTGTAAGGGGATGGGCCTGGGGTCTGAGATGGCACATTAAAAAAAAAAAAAACAATAAAAAAGTTCTACATGCTGAGAAAACAGACATCTGGTCATCTGGGACCAAAATCTGATGTTGTTCTTGAGCTGGTGAATAATTCAAAAGGCCAAACTGATATTCAAATAGCAAAGTGTGGGCATAGAACCTCTCACTTCCCAATGCACCTGCTGTGGGTATGCCATTGTTCTGGATGGCCAGTGCAATTCCAGGGATACAAAGTGCTGGGAAAAAGACAGGAAATCTGTTTAAATACACCCCAGAAATGATGAGCTGCAGGAAGGGTATTTAAAGCTTAAGAGAGTTTGGCAGAGTGTCTGCTGCTGTTATCCCCTTCCTTCCTTGGTCCCAGCTCTCTGCCATGTTAAAGCGAGCAGGAGAGGTGGCCCTGTCAAGTTTTCAGAAGGCAGAATACTGAAAAGGTCAGAGTAGTAAACTATGACAGAGCATGTAAGTCATTATCATTCTAATATTGCCTCTGTAATGAGAACGAGACCAGAGAAAATTATTGTGAAATACATTGTAAAACTTGGGAAAACGTAGTTCTGTTGCTGCCTAAGTTCTTTAATGACAAGTAGATTCTATGTGTGTCTTTATAAACGTGCTCTGTAGCTTGAAGGAGGCTGAAAGAAGAAGATTTGTGGCAATTTCCATCGTAACTATTCATTTTTCCCCCAACCATAAGGAAAACTCACTGTGCTGCAAGGTTGGGAGAAACTGAATCAAACTAAAAAGCTTTGGAATTTTGATTTTTCTTTGTTTGTTTTGTCTGTTGTTTGTTTTTATTTAAGATCTGTCAAAACTTTGGCATTAATTCCTGACATTGGAGT